AGCCAGGCATTGTGGTGGGCACCTGTAGTCCCAGCTACTTGGGAGGCAGAGGCAGAAGAATTGCTTGAGCCCAGGAGTTGGAGGTTGCTGTGAGCTGTGATCCCATAGCACTCTACCCAGGGCAACAGCTGGAGGCTCTGTCTCAAAAAAAAGAGGAAGTTTTGTAAAACAGCTAAGACTCCAGAGTAAAAACCGGCTAAAGAGAGCTCCTGTCCCTTGAGCAGCCAAAGGTTCTAAGAGTTGAAAGAGAAAGATTATAAAAAGTGAAAGGCCGAAAGAAAAACCCAGTAGAGAAAAAACATGGCAAATGAGATACAGCAGTTGAAGTATCAGATGGAACAGCTTAAAGATGAAATTAAGATCATGGCAGCTGGCTCGGCACCTGTGGATCAACTGGGTAAGGCGCCAGGCGCCAGCCACATACACTTAAGGTGGTGGGTTCAAATCCAGCCCAGGCCCACCAAACAACGATGGCTGCAACCAAAAAATAGCCAGGCATTGTGGTGGGCACCTGTGGTCCCAGCTATTGGGAGGCAGAGGCAGGATACTCGCTTGAGCCCAGGAGTTGGAGGTTGCTGTGAGCTGTGATGCCACAGCACTCTACCCAGGGGACAGCTTGAGGCTCTGCCTCAAAAAAAAAGATCATGGCAGCTGATATGAAACAATTGAGAGATCAGATGAATAATCTTATAGCTGAAGCAGGTAAATGCTATACTGACATGACAACTCAAATTGGGCAGCTGGAAGATCAGAGGGTAAATCCCCCAGTTAACATCAAATGCCATAAATGTGGGAAGCCAGGCCATAAGAGGAAAAAACTTTAAAAGGGAAAAGAACGCTGAATGCTAAAGAAAAGAACAAAGAGCATAGAAACCTCCAGGTATATGTCCCAAGTGTAAAAAAGGCTTTCACTGGGCAAACGAATGCCGTTCTCATTTTATAAAGATGGAACACCTTTATTGTAGGGAAATTATCAGTTGGGCCAGAATCAGGGCCCACTGGTAAATGAAAGAAGTTAGAACAGTTCCTTTAACATTTTCTTTTCAAACTATTCTCAGAAAAACAGTGTAATTCAATTCTATGCCATGGGAGCACTCTGCCAGCTTGGTTAGATTTGTAGTGCCTCAGCATCAAACTGAGGAAATTAACACCAATGGACGATGATGGAGAATAATTAGATTAAATGTTTGTGGAATATTAGGTTATCCTGCGTGGTGAAGGGATAACGACCTCTCATCAGCGTCTATGTACTATAACCGGGTCCAGCTAAAGAGCCTGGACATGGCCCAAAGGGGAAAAGGACACTCTGAAGCAAGTGACTCCTTTGGAAGATTATGAGAGGGAGAACAAAGGGAGGGAAGAGTAAACGTTAAACCACCTTTGTGCTAGGGAGCTCCATTTGAAACAAGATTCTGGAATCAATTAGCAAAAGTTCTGCTAGAAAAGCAGCTTAAAAGCAGGAAAAACTCTGCTACTGAGGAACTGTGAAGTGTGGGGGCCACTCATGGACCGCGAGTTAACAGAGCCTTTGAGAGGAACCATGAAGTGGGAGACCATCAGGCCACGAGTAACAGTCTTTTGAGATCTGTGAAGGGTAGATTTAGGACCCCGTGTAGCAAAGCTTTCAGAATAGTGAGAAAAATCCTTGCTTGCAAAGATCGCAAGGAAAGCGTTATCTTTTGTTCGTCCACACAGTTAAGAAATGGTAAATTCTCTCAGCAAAGATTTTCTCAGTGTGTTTTTCTCAGTTTAAAAAGATCTTTAAGGGAATTAACATTGCAATCATGATTTTTCCCTAGCGGCTGCTAATAGTTGACATCTGTATTGGGCTTCCTTCCTCATTTAAAGAGCCCACACCTGGAATTCTGAACCTTAACAATTACCATGTTCTTTTGACTAGAAAGAAAAGGGCTAAATAACAGAAAGAACTGCCCTTCCCAAATTAAAAATTATTTTGCTTGTATATAAAAAAGGGGGAAAATGTACCAGCCCATATAGCCTATGGCTAGGAGGAGTGAGAGTTGTAAGAAATACCTGTGCAGCTCAATGATGGAACACCTTGGTGAGAAGGGCATGGACAGGGATTTGGTTCTAACAAGCATGAGAGCGCTCAGGAGATGAGAGCCCTGGTGAATTGGCAGTCTCTACACCTGTGGTGTTGAGAGGCACAAGCTCAGCCTTATATTAGGCCTTATATTAGGCCAGAAAGTAGGGAGTTAAGGAGCATGCGCATTCTATCACGGACACGCTCACTCTGTTTCCTCTCCTACCTGCAGAATGCCAGCACGGCGTCTCTCTGCTGAAGATTACCAAACTCTGCTAAAGACTAAGATCTACCTATGCTAAGAAGACTGCTTTACTCTAACACTCTCTCTCCAGCTGAAGTAGACAGCCCTCAGGCACCTAAGAGAAACTGTTCCCGAGTAAGGTAGCTTAGCGGTCTGTGTCCAGAACCTACCTAAGCTGGGCCCGAGACCTGGCCAGTCCCGGGCCCTGACAGACCAAGGCTGGGTTAAAACATGCCAGCTCTAATCATTGAGCTATGGGTGCCCACCCCAGCAACACTCCTAT